GGGCACCTATTGAAAGGACCCTCGCTCCAGAATGTTTCCCTCACCCGTAGACATTTCTTTGTCCCACTACCCTAAATTCTGATTTTCTTTTGAGTCTCTCCTTTAAGAGGTTGAAGCTTGGTGATTTGCAACTTAGTACGAATTACTGTAACAGAACTCTGTACTTGCTTCTAATACCTGGTGAGGATCCTTCCACTGTGGAAGTGGGGCTATTGATTAAACAGCTTCTTTAGGAGTCCTTTAAGGTCGGGGTTGGCGGTGGAGGCATCCCCAAGTGGAGCATTTATACGAGTGTCTTTGGGAGCCCCGAAGTCGTTAGGCTGTGGCGGGCGGTGAGTGAAAAGAGGGCATTGGAGGGGGGATGAAAGAATGTAGAAGACAAACTGTACACAGGAGTTTATCTAGGACTGTTCCTCCTCTGGAATCCTAACCAGAGCATCCACCTGCCTCAGGTGCTTCCTCAGCACTTACTCCACCTAGCTTCTTTGCATGCTGGGTTTTAGGTGAACCCTAGCTCCAAGGAGTCTCTGTGTTCTGAGTTCTCCTCTCTCGTCAACAGCTGGCAGCCTGCCCATCGTCTGGACCTGGAATCTTAGCTGGGACCAGGACAGAATTGAACCTTGGGAACTGGGTATTTTATGCTCCCTTCACCAGATAGATTGTTTTCTGACTTGAGAACAGCTTACCATCCAAAGTTCCTTTGTGCCCCTTCTTCATTCCCCAGCTCCTTTGGGAGCCAGAGAGCAGCACAGCGGTGGCTCGCTTCACCCAAATTCCTGCCTGCTTTGCTGTTTGGCCGGAGGATCACAGGAAGGTTGTTCAGGGGAGCCTTCCCTGAATGTTTCATGACTACGCTGCCTTGTCTCCCTCAGTCATTTAATGTTTTACTCATTGATTTAAGCTATTTATTTTAGCACGTGAACTTTTACTATGGATCTGTGGCTGTGCTGACCAGACCCAGCCTGGACTCAGGTTTGTTCTGGTCACTGTAGGAAATGTATCTGTGGCTGCGAGTGGCCGCTTCTCCTCTTTCAGTCTGTCTGAAGAGCAGTCCCGCCTCTTGTCATATCCTCCTGACCTGTTCCTGTTTATGACTCTCCTGTCAGATCTCCTGTTGCAGTGACCATCAGTGCAAGTGGCTTCCAGCTCCCATGGACACTTTCTCCACCCAGACGCTGGCCCTGAATGTCAAGTCTTGTCACGACAGCCTGGTTGCTGTTCGCTATGCGTGGGCCACATGGCCTTGTGAATATAAGCAGTGTCCCCTGTACCACCCCACCAGTGCCCTGCCAGCTCCTCCCTTCACTGCTTTCATTACAAACCAGATCCCTGGGTATTGCAGCAAGGTTGCTAAATGATTCCGTTGCAGTATGATCACATCTTAGGCGTAAGTGTGGATCCTTTAGATTTGGGCATTCAGGGGTTTAAATGACAGCTATTGCTTTTTAATGGAAATGAATAGAACTGCCTCACTGACAGCGCCCGGCTAGCACATGGCTGTTTCCATATTCTGAGATGCCAGAGCTGGTAGGCAAATGAAACGCTTGTCTTTTGTCCTCCAGTTGGGCCAGGTATCTGTATTAGAATAATTCCAAACTACAAACAAACAACTTGAATCTCAATGTCATTCACTCCCCTTATTACTGGGAGTGAAATGTCTTTAACACCTTTGTCCCCTTACCTCCAGACTGTGGAAACTCGGGGTCGGAAGAGATTTTAAGGCCATACAGGCCGGCTAGCATTTATGTTTTTTTCTATAAAATATGAGAGGTGGTTATCAAGTTTCTGTATAAAGTTTCCCTTCTAAACCTCCCAACAGTTTTTCCTCACGTGGAACTGAAATGTTTCTTCCACTACACAACCATCTTTCAGAGAACTGATTTCAGCCCTATTTTGTTCCAAGCTGAAAACAATTCTATTCCTTTAGTCCAAATAATGATAATGTGAGTATTTAACAGAAAGAAACCAGAATCACGTGCAGGCATTTTGGGAGGCGCTAAGGGACGGCCTCAAGGAGGGAAGAGAAAGGCGAGCTGGAGCAGCCCATGGGGAGGCCATGTGACCGCAGAAGTCACTGAGAAGCAAACAGAGATATCAGGCTCTTTAAAGGTAAGAGGTTTAACTATGAAAAGGACAATCCAGATGGAGGAACAACGTGAGGCTGAAAGTAAAGCTACAGGATAAGCATTTAGAAAAATAATCTAGATGGGGCAAATGTGAAAGAGGGCTTTTGTGTATACTATTAAGAATCATAATGCTGTTTATTGGTTGATTAAGAACAGTTAAAGGCACTTGACAATTGTCTGTAATCTCTAAGAAGCTGGAAATAAAAGTATAATCATTAGTCACGTGTACACATTCCTCTCTAGTCAAAACTGGGTTATGAACGGGCTTGCAAATTGTCCTCTGAAGCTGAGAAAGGACTGAGACTTATCTGTGGGTAGTTTCCATTCCCTTAATGTGAAAAATGAGAACGAAAGCATAAGCATCACTCTCTCCATACCTGTCCCCCAAGGGGTCCTGCTGTAATTGAAGAGCAGGAATGCATCGTCAGTGCCAGGATCTTAGTAAAAAGCGAAACAGCTACGCAGCTTGCAAGGAACTCTGCTCCTTCGAGGACTTCCCAGCGTACAGCTGGCTCCTAACACCCAAACCTTGGCCTCTTAGTCATCTGGCCTAACAGGAACCACGGACCCAGTAACAGACTCCTGCGGAAAAGCGAATGCACTGTCCACTCCTCCTCACCGCAGCACTCACGCACGTCGCGTGGAGGCCGTTCTAACTTGGAAGAAGCTAGAAACAGTTAAGCGCTCCAGGCCCAGGTTCCCTTCACCCCCAGTAAGCTAGGGCACACAGTGTAAAAAGTTAGGTTTAGGTGGTGGATATCTTAATGAAAAGTCATATGAAAGTTTATTTTTAATGGCTGAATAATTTAAAACATTCTGTGGGAATTCAGTTTCTTTCCCAAATGAAAATAACTTTTTACTATTTGAAAAAATCGAATTCATAATCACTAAGAAGACTTGGATGCTAAAGAAAAGTATACGTAAGTAAAAATCACCACAAAATTAATCATTTGGAGACACTTAATATTTTGGTGAACATCACTTGATTTGTTTAGGTCACATTTTACTACACGGTATATTATTTTGTAATCTGCGTTTTTGACTTAATCTAGCGAAATAATTTTCCTATGTAAAGTGAAAACGGATTTAGTTTGTTCCAGTTTGTGGGAGCTCCATATTTTCTTTAACCAGTTTGCCATCAGTGGACATAGAGGGTTTTAAACAAATACTGTGATAACTGTTACGTGCAAACACCGTACCACACTTAATTCCTTAGGGTCCTGAATATGGAATAATGGGTTTAAGGATAAATATGTTTAACATTTTGATACCTACAGCTTAACCCTCCCAAAGGGTTCAACAGTTTACATTTCCACCAAGGCATAGTCCCATTTTCTCCCTCATTTTCACTGACACTGGACGTTGTCAAACTATCTTCAACAATCCAGTAGATGAAAAGATTTTTTAAGTATGCTAGCTAGGGCAGTGTTTTTCAAGTTACTTAAAATGATGATCCATAGTAAAAACACTTTACATCATTCCATGTATCCCCATGTGTATTGTGTGAATGGTACATAAACGCCTATATACACACTACAGTTGAAACCAGTTTCAACCTTTGACATGCGATGCATTCCAATATGTTCTAACTGTCTTCTAATTTAATTTTAAAAGATGTGGGTCTTGATTGCCTAAGTTTAAGAACAACTAGTGTGTTGAGATTTGTAGTTTGAAAAACACTGTTCTAGGAAAGCTACAAAATGAATACTTATTAAAGGAAAACCGTGCACTAACTTACATAAATTTTTTTTAATGTCCTTCTTAGAATGACGCTCACTTTGAATCTGTGATTAACTCAGGCTGTAACGGAATGGAAAGATATTGGTTATGTGATGAAAGCAGCATATACCATTTCTGTGTAAATGCAAATGGCTTCAGGCACCTTACGCAGAGAAAAAGGAAAAAAGAAAAACATTAACAGTTTTGAGTAATCTCCTTTCTATCCCTGATTTGCTATTATCCAAATTTTACTATTGTCTTTGCACTGTAAAAGCTATACAAACTTGTAAGACTATAATTAAGAATCATAAAATTAATGTTAGTTACTTTAGTTTCTGATACTTTGCAGTGGCCAGTGTGATGTGCTCTAAATGCTGCATCTGATCCCTCCCTCTGCCATCCAGATATAGTCCCGTAAGATGCTAGGCCCATTTGTTTCCTCCCCCGTTAGCACCTACGGACGGTAGCACAGTGACAATCCAGTTCTCACTGCCTTCCCCATTCTTCTACTTCCGGGGTCCTTTTGTTCCTTCCCATTCCAGCCAGCCCTGGTACTGGACCGGGTGGGCAGCGAAGCATCCCACAAGGCACCGTGGAGTTGTCCTGGCTGGGATTAGGTGGTGTGGTATGCCTCTACCTTAATGCTGTAAGCAGAGTCCAAAAAATTCAGTTATACAGAATGCGGAATTACATCATTACACGACTAACGAACTGTTGGGGTGAGTCTGTTACGGAGGATGGGAACCAATCACGTTCTATCTAAATGTGTGTTATCACGTGGTTTAGCTAAAAGCACATTCTCCAGTAAGGAGCCACAAAGGGAATGTAGGAAGGGTTAGAGAGGATTTTTTGATCCCCTTGTGAAATGTGAAAAAGACGAACAGTGGGCCTGGGACTGGACCTTGCAGCTTGGGGATAAGCAGGATTTCACTGTGGTGACGCTGACATGAAAACAAAGCAGCAGCTGGTTGTAGGGGCTGCGACTTAATATTCACTGACCTAGATCAGGATCAAGGGTGCAAGGTTGTCAGAATCTTACTACCTTCCTCCTGAGTCAGCAGCCATCTCTCCCTCTGGTTTACAAAGGACTTAAGTTTACCTCAGGCAGAGCTAAGCCAAAAGATTATATCCTGATTACAACAAGATGAAAATAAGCAGAACTGTCAAGAAAAATTTATTACTAAAAATAAAGCAGCTGAAGTTTTTCCCAGGAAAGCTGTCACCATGGGAACCTCCGCGACAAAATCTGTTAATTTACTATCTTCTTCACTTGAGTCGCTGCCTTCTTCCATATAGTCTTAAGTTTTAGTTTAAGATAAAAAATCCATCCTGATGAAAATGATGTGGTCTTCGATCCCTTCCTGTTCAATCTGAAGACTGAGTTGGGCTACACTGCGACGGAGACTTCAAGTGCTGTAGGTGAGTATCTACCAAGGGTTCATGTGTCAGGAACATGCGTTGATAAGAAGACACAAAGGCTGTAGGCTGAAGCTCTGGGAGGTCCAAGGATCCTGGAGAAAAAAAATTCCTCAAGTTCCACTGTTGCCTGGGAATCTCAGGAGACTGGCTTGACCAGACACATACGTGTCCTTTTAATTCTTTCAACTCTTTTGCATCTGTCAGCCCAGTTCTGCCCTTGTTTGGTAAGACAGGACAGATACTTACTTTTACAATGAAGAAAACTGTGGCTGAAATACAGCAAGTGGTACTGGAAAAACTGGACAGCCATATGTAAATCAGTGAAGTTACAACACACCCTCACACCACATACAAAAATAAACTCAAAATGGCTTTAAGACTTTTATAAGACATGACACCATAAAACTCCTAGAAGAGAACATAGGCAAGACATTCTTGGACATAAATCGTACCAATGTTTTCTTAGGTCAGTCTCCCAAGGCAATAGAAATGAAAGCAAAAACAAACAAATGGGACCTAATCAAACATAAGTTTTTGCACAGCAAAGGAAACCATAAACAAAATGAAAAGACAACCTACGGACTGGGAGAAAATATTTGCAAATGATGCGACTGACAAGGGCTTAGGTTCCAAAATATACAAACAGCTCATACAACTCAAAAACAAAAAAACAACCCAATCAATAAATGGGCCAAAGGCCTAAATAGACATTTCTCCAAAGAAGACATACAGATGGGCAAGAGGCACATGAAAAGATGCTCAACATCAAATCATTAGAGAAATTCGAATCGAAACTACAATGAGGTATCACCTCACACCAGTCAGAATGGATCATCAAAAAATATACAAACAATAAATAATGGAGAGGATATGGAAAAAAGGGAACCCTCTTGCACTGTTGGGGGGATGTAAACTGATATAGCCACTATGGAGCACAGTATGGAGGTTCCTTAAAAAACTAAAAATAGAACTGCCATATGACCCAGCAATCCCACTCCTGGGCATATACCCAGACAAAACTATAACCCGAAAATATACATGCACCCCTGTGTTCACAGCAGCACTGTTTGCAACAGCCAAGCCACTGACAGATGAATTAATAAAGAAGGTGTGGCATATACACACACACACACAGAGGAATATGAGCCATAAAAAAGAATGAAATGATGCCATTTGCAGCAACGTGGATGGACAGAGATTATCACACTAAGCGAAGTAAGAAAGAGACGAATACCATGTGACATCACTTATATGTGGAATCTAAAATATGACACAAATGAACCTATCTATGAAACAAAGACTTCACAGACATAGAGAAGAGACCTGTGGTTGCCAAGGGGGAGGGATGGATTGGGAGTTTGGGACTAGCAGATGCAAACTAGTATATACAGGATGGATGAACAACAAGGTCCTACTGTACAGCACGGAACTATATTCAATATCCTGTGATAAAACATAATGGAAAAGAACATGGAAAAATATATATGTGTATAACTGAACCGCTGCTGTACAGCAGAAATTAACTCAACATTGTTAGTCAGCTATACTTCAATAAAATATTAAAAAAGAACAAAACTGGCTGAAATAGATCAAGTGACTTGCCTAGGGTTACACAGCATAGTAGGCAGAGACAGAGAAGTTAATACTATCTTCTTACTTCTAGTCCAGAGCTCTCCCTATATGACTCCTATGCCGGATCCCCTGGTCACTCCACTCATTTGTGGGAGGGAATCCACGGGACATAGGCAGGACCAAGGCCATGACCTGATCCCCTTTACTACATCTGAAATTTCAGTCCCACAGTAAACTTTCCCTTGTATTCTGCTTAGGTCTTATTTAGGTTAGAAAATGAGATGCCCTAGCTTCTCAGTGAGCCCTGCCTCACCATGATCTCAGCCACGCCCTGTGACTTCTGCGAGGGTTGCCCATGGCCAGAGCAGGGAAAGCGTCTATCACTCACTGCCCAGATATGGGATACTCAGCGATGGATGAAGAGGGGAGGGTTGCCTAAAAATGGTCAATTTTCGAAGCAGAAGGGAAAAAATAAAAGATACCTTGTAGAATGGGATCATTATGATCTTTATGGAAGGTCTGTCTCTGAAAGGCTTCAAAGCTTGTAGCTGCATCATTCTCTAGCTGTCCTTGGGGCGGCAGACTGTCTCCAGGTTTGCACACGTCGAACTTCACCCACTGGTAACTGCAGGACCAAAGGGATCATTACTGAGTTGTCTGTTGGCCATACAACCCATTCTTCCCTCCAAAGGGATCAGGTATTTTTTTCTTTAGGTCTCTGCCATATATATCTGAAAAACATATTAACTAACCAAAAATGAAAAGCACACAGACAGGCTTCTTTAGTGACACTTACTCTGCAGGACTTCCCAATCCATTTGCTGTCATGGTGCACACAGACGATAAGAACTTCAGTACAGTGGGGTACTGGCTCCTGCTCGCCGTCCAGGGGTCGCAGAGGACCAATACTGTGCCTTGTGCACAGAAGCAGCTCATTAAATGGATGAATGAGCAGAGCAGTGACCGCCAGTTTAGGTCCCTGACCCACCTGGTCCCTGGGGCTTCTTTCAAGGGAATGGATTTGACCCCACTTACTTGACGCATTTTCGAGCTCCTGGACAACTCTGGATCAGGTTGTGGATGGCTGGATGAGAAAACCCAAAAAAGTCGGCTCCAGATGGATGCACGTTGGGCATTAGTTTCCCCCTAAACAGGAGAGGGAGAATTTTAGCTTGAGAGCTGAGGGGGAGATGAGAATGTGGGTATGAACACATGGAATAAGCTTTCCTCACTTGGATACTCTGGAGACTGTAGCTGCTAAGACATTCAAAGGACACAGGATAGCTTTCTATAAAATAAGGGATCTCTACTCATTAAAAGCAAGAGAGAAGGCCTCAGTGTACCCAAAGTGATCTTTTTAGCCTGTCTCCAAGCTGTTGGTCAACTTACATAGCAGCACTTATGGTCTCGAGCAGTTCTGCATGACAGGCGTCTGCAGAAGAGCTGGCAATGGCATTCTGGGGGTCATCTTCAGGAACAATTTCAAACTGAGAATACAAAGGAGCAACGAGGTCAGTCTTCAAGGAGAAGGGGGTAGAGAGAGTCACACTACTGCTATTACTCTTTCTTCACTCTGGAACCTGAAGCTGAGTATACCAGGTAGGAGGTGGGTACCATTCCTAGGGGGCTGTTAGAAATTCCAAGCCAAGAAAACAGAGCAAGTCTTTTGACTGTTTAATTTTGTACTCTTTGCTTGACTCCTCTCCAGAGGCCAACACTTAATTTCTTATATACCTTTCCAGATGCTTTCTTATCCACTTACTTACATTTATAAGTATAAATACAAATGGTATTTTAAAAACAAATGAAATCATTCTCCACATAATCTTAGATTTACTTTATAACGCCTAGGAAGAGTATAGGCCGTTCTGACTGCAAATCGCCATTTCACTTTACTTTTTGAGTTGTAAAATATCCTATTTATAAAAAGAAACTGTTAAATCAAAATTATACTGATACTGAGGAATTTCTGCCAAGAAAGCATTATTGTAACAAGTGCTATCTACCCAACTTAATTCCTTGACCAGTTTTCTATAAAGTTCACGACTTTTTGCAAAAAAAAAAAAAAAAAAATTTCTGTAACAGCTTCTCTTTAGTCATTTAAATTCCTTAACCAGCTTTCTATAAAGTTCAGTTAAGCAGTTTCCAGTTTTTCAATGTTTAATAAAATTATTCCACACAGAATTAATTTATTTTCTGTATATATATATATATTTTTTTTTTCTTTTTCCCCCCAGTGATGTGCATTATTGATCATTTTTTTAGAATCCAAAAGCAAACCTTACTGAGTAGTTTCTACTGCTGTTAGTTTTCTTCTGTGGTTATTTCATTTGATTCAATTTTCCTGTGTCAATTTTAGAGCTCTTTCAATTTTGTCAGTAATAAATTATCTTGAGAGTAGTTTTAGTCAATGGTTTTGTTACTTCAGTGACATGTTGCAAGTTTAACATTGTGATGGTTTATACTGATTTCTCAGCTAATTCATGAAAAAACCGTAAACAATTATCTTTAAATATTTCAGGATTGCTCTTCTATTTGGTATTGATCATGCCAATTCAATTTTTTATATTGTGTGTAAACTACATATTCTATTTGAGCAAAGAGCAATTAAAAGGCCAAAATGTAGTATTTTGGTTTGGGGATCTTTCCCTACTTCATTCTTTTAACTGCCGTATAATATTACACAAGGTGGATATATCTTAATTTTTAACCATTTTCCTATTGGTGGGTATTTAGGCTACTTTTAACTTCTTGCTATTGCAAACAATGCCACAATTACATTGTTGTATGTAATTCTTTTGTTCACATTCGCACATTTCTCTAAGACATACTAGAATATCTAGAAGTATTCTGGATCAAAGGAGTCACACATTAAAATTGTTGATACTGCCCAGCTGCCTTCCAAAAAAAGGAACTTTACAAATTTTCCCTCCTACTAATGCCATTTGTACTTATTTTCCTACATGCTGGCCAACATCTGCTATTATCTATCTTATATTTGCCTATGAAAAAAAATAAGATCTTTCTGTTTTATTTGCGTCTCCCTACTAGTAAGGTCTGCTCTCATCGACCATCTGCACTGTTTCTGTGAAATGCCTGTTTTATCTGACTGCTTTTTTATCTTAGACCACAAGAGCACTTTATCTGGATATTAATCCACTGTGACATATTTTCTTCTTGTTTGTCGCTTTTAACTTTGATTATGGTGGTTTTGGTAATTCAGAAGTGTTTAAATTTTTAAGAGTCAGATCTGTTACTACTTTCCATTATGGCTCCTACTTTTCACATCTTGCTAAGGAAAACCTTTTCACCTCACCCTAGGATTATAAATATATTGTTCAATATTTTTTAAACATATTTATAGTATAAAACATTTTATAAAGCTAAAGCAATTAAAAGTCATACTGGCATTTATAGACAAATAGATGAAACAGAATCGTCTGGAAACATACTCAAGTATTATATGTATTTAGTATATACTAAATGTGTCACTTGATGTTAGGGGAAAAAAATTAAAGCTCACAATGTACCTGAAAATAATGTCTGGATGGGTTAGTGGCTTAATAAAGGAAACAATAAAAACCCCAAAGACTTTTTTTTTTTTTTTTTTTTAATATTTTAGCAATTTGTCTTTCAGAGGAAATTAAGGACCAGCTTGTCAATTACCATTTACATTCTATTAGGATTTTGATTAGATCTTCCTTGAACATATAGATTTGTTATAATTATTGCTACAATGTCGAGACTGTCTGTTAGAGCACTTTCTAAAGAGAAATGCTGCATGGCCAAGGTCATGCAAACTCTCAGCTGCATCCGACAGCGTTCTAACCAGGACAGGGGTGATGCAATACTGTCCACACGCGTCAGGCAGGCCCTCAGCTTCTGCTCAAAGGCTCCTTCCCTTGCTTCCATCTCCTTCCGCCCCATTTTCTAGCGATCTGTAGCATCATCAGACAGTGAAGCCTGAAACTCTGAAAATGGTCTACTTTCCCCCAGAGGAGACTGGGAAAGTGAATTGTCTTGAACCACAGCACTGAGAAGGATGAACAAAGATACTTAATATGAGCAGGACTCAGGTCTCCCAGGTCCTCAAGAGTACGTGCAGTCAGAAACTAATATGCAAGTTCTCTGCTACCTCCATCTTGGTCCCGCCTGAGTTGGCAGAGTGTCAAGCTAATCTTCCCTGAATGTAGGCCTGCACTTTACAAACAAGCAGCTTGATCAGGCCTCACGTGGTCACCATATTGACATTAGCACCAGCACGCTTCAAGGGAATGGGTGTCAGTAGGACAATCACACAAATGCAGATTCACATCCCAGCTCAAATCACTTATTAGCAGAGGTGGGACTCAGGGCCGATCACTTTCTGCATCTTACACACTATCTACCTTGTGTAAAGTGTCTGAATGGGTAATATATATTAAGTGCGTGTCACAGAGAAGGTTCTCAAAAAAAAAAAAAAGAAAAGAAAACCAGCAGTTATTCTTAGAGTGGGTACCTGAGGCTGTGTGCCACCGTCCTTGATCTGACAGGTGTACAGACACTCCTGGTCTGGGCTCTTCATGCTGGCGTATACCCGAGTACTGCAGTAGCCCACAGGGTAGATGGCACCCTCGTCATGGAAGCCAGGTCGGTCGGTGATGATCTATAAAAAAAGATTCCCCCAACCCGCCACTGAGGTCACCAGAGAATGTAGAAGTCCAGGGTACTGCGGTAGCCTTTGGAACCACCTTGGGGCTGCAAAGAGTGACTCAAACCAGAGAGAGGAAGAGCGTAGGATGTGTAGCAGACAAAACTGACCTGGTTTCCTAGGGGCCGGAGATTTTCTGGGGCTGGTCTGGATCAGCGAGGGGCTGCTGCTAACGGGAACAGGGAGGGAAGGCTCAGCCCCACTCCCGTATTTCTGAGCCTCCTCTCTCTGTATGGCTGGTCTCACTCACCTCCCCCAGGCTATACACTGTCAGACCCCCCAGTCCGACGGGGGACACAGGCCGTCCTGAGGGGTCCAGGGCAACGGGCCGAACCAGCTTGCGAGCACCTGTCTCCATTTTCTTTTTCTTGGATGTTTTCTTCAGAACTGAAACGCAAATCTAGGGTCACCCACTTTAGGCCCTTCCCAGTGTTGAGGGGAAGGGAAACCTCTGCACGATGCTAAGAGCAATAAGCCAATCCTGGTTCTACACACTCCCTGAATGGGCACATGGGACTTTTCCCCAAAGCCCTGAGTATTCTTCTAACCCACCCACCTGGCAGTAACCAATTTTGGTATCAGTGCTTAGTATCTAAAAGCCTTATACTTTTTAAGGCCTCTGACTTCATTATAAGGTCAGCGATTTCCCAAGTCATCTGTGTGCTCAAAAGGCCACCAAGCCCATTTCCCTGCCTCTAGGAAAGACTGAACTGAAGGCACCCAGAGAGTCGGGTGTGTAGGAGAAGGGGGAGGCCTTGGCCTGCTCCCATCACGGTTAACCAGGTCTAACTGCAATTCCTCCACCTGGAGTGGCTTTAAGACACTTGGTTTTCAAGGGCTACCAGGGCTGCTTAAGGACCAGGTGAGAGTTTAAGTCATCTCTGTGGCCGAGTGTCTACCAGTTAGTACCAGGTCTTCGTCATTAGTCGTTGAGCCACTGGGGCAACTGATATCCTCTCCCCAAGGTACCTTCCAGTTTGTTGTTCTCTTTGCCTTTTTCTTTTTTCTCCTTCTTGGATTTCTTTCCAAATGGTTCCTCAGCTCCAGTGCTAGGCCCAGAAAGCGGCCCAGCTCCCTGGATAGTTCCCACAGAGCTGGCCACACCGTAAGTCAGGGGCAAACTGGAGCTGTGGGAAGGAGCTGCAACCTGTGCTTCCCCTTCAGTTAGAGCCTGGAGCTGAAGGAGCTTCTTTAGCAAGTACCTGAGGTCGGGAAGGAAAGGGAGCAGAGGTATGAGCTTCTGTTTTATCACAATTCCATATTTTATTCAAGTACTGGGAAAAGCCAGAACTATATACAAAGATTATTGCATTCACAAAAATAAGGTTCTTATTGGACCCCGGGAAAAACGAAGCTCCAGAGAATAATACTTCAAGAAGCTAAGGATAAAGGATTATAGCGTATCTCTTTTGCATCTGGAGAGCTCTTCTAACTGGATGTTGGAAGGTGTTAGGCTTCTGAAGGGCACATACCATGAACTGCACATGTACATGTACTCACGGAGTACTACATATGGAATAAATATATGTAGAATGAAATGCAGTTTCTTTTATTCCTTGGCTTTTATAACTGCAGAGTTATAATAAAATTACTTATAAGATGTGGCAAGAGAGATGAATAGAGCTGTTTCATCATCATGGTCCAACACGACCTGGGTAAACAGGAACCAATACCATAGGTTGTGACTTTGTACCAGATTAGTGGCCAGTGGGCTGTGCAAAGCACAAAAATCCCGATGGAGGAAAATTCATAGGAGCAGAAACACCGTATCAATCACCAAAAAATGTAATTCTGAACACAAAATGAACCAGCTCACCGTCTTTCTTCTTTAGCTTTAAGAAACTTTTCCTCAAGACGAGCAATTTCATCACAAATAGCAGCATTTTCCTTGAAGAAAATTTTGAATATAGTCACACAAAATGAATAACAGATCGAAGTATTACGCTGAGAAGAGGAGCTATATTCCAGACCAAAGAAGTCTGTGTTGCTGGGTGAGAAGGAAGTGCTAGTCTACCTTGCAGAGAAACTGTAAGCAAACCTATAAGTAAAGGTAGGGTCAAGTTCTAATGTGGGCAGAGTAATTAGATAATTTATAGAAACTGGTGCACCTTTGCGTGAAAAGGGGGAGCTATTAATGATTTTGCCAGAACAATATGGCAAAGTAGTAGGGCTGTCCTAGGCAAACCAAGACATACGGTCACCTTAATTAGGGTAGCCTTTAGCAAAGAAAAGGGCATACTGCTCAAATCATAGATGCTTAAACTCAACCCCTGTAAATATGGGGAAGGTCCATTCCCAAGTGCCTTGACTCTTGAGGAGCTTACAAAGCGAACCTAACCCAAAGCATCCCATGTAGAATGAACCTTAAAGAGAAAATATAGGTGGAACAAAATCTAGTCCAGTCTATAAAATTCTTAAATTTCATAACCTATTTATGTGTATTCAAGCATCAGCTTTCTTTACTGACGATTCAATCTAGTTCCCAAGCATGAGTCCTGAGGGGACTGCTCCAATCTGGATGCTCCATAGTTGGGACCTCAAACTTTGAATGATCAAAACAATATCCTTTTTCTTCACAAAACCTTCTGCATAGACTTGGTGGAACCAGTATCCTAACAACATAGGTGCCAAGCTTTAGGTACCTTTGACATTTAGGGAATAAAAGAAAGGTAACATAATTAGATACTAAATCCTCTTAATTCTGCTTTTCTTACTTCTCTCCAGTGTACATGGCAAGTGCCAAATAAATGTTTTTGGAATGAATGCTCTGATTTCCAAACCTTTCCTTATGCTTCCAAAAAAGCTGAGGGATGTTCTAGCTTTTGGTAGAAGAAGAGGTAAGGTAGTGGTGATTCAGATGTGGGGAGATATCTGAGACACCTGCTATTTCCAAGCATTGAGGTGAGCTTGAGCAAGCCAGAATATTATAACACTTGGCTGTGGCTGGAAAACCATTTCATTCATTCAGTAAATCCAGTGCCTCTACAATAAAAGATCGGGAAGACTCAAAAGAGGTTAGAAGGGGGGATTACTGAAAGCTTCATGTGCCTGTTCGTGGAAGGGGTCAGTTATGGGTAAGCGGGGTGCTTGGGAAACAGGCTGCGTAATGGAAGTACTAAAGAAACTAGAATCAGGTGTTTGAGTTGGAGCCAGGGCTCTGACATAGTGCCCTCGAGCAAATCATCTCTCGGGGCTTAAGTGCTGCTACTTTAAAAATAGCGCCTCATTCTCAGGTTTCTCTGGAGGCTCAAAGGCATTTCCAAGAGTTCTGCGGTAATAACGATAATGACTAAAACTTATTAGCACAGCTTCTAGGTACCGAGCGCTTTACTTTCCTCATTTAATCTTCATTAAGCCTGCAAGGCAGTTATTAGCTCTCATTTGCAGATGAGAAACCAGGATTACAGGAATTACGTAATTTGTCCAAGGCATGAGGCTAACAAGAAGTAACGTACAATGTAAAACCTAACACTATATTACTACTGTCACTCTGGGAAGGGGAACAGTTCGGGAAAAGATTTCGCGAGTTAGGAGAGGCTCGAGGCTGAGAAGGGCTGAGCGCCGGTCACACTCACAAACACCGTGGCTTTGGCCGCTTTGCGCAGCCGCAGGTACTTGAGCCGGTACTTCTCGTTCTGGCTCTTCTTCGGGAGCTTTTTCATCCTGGCCTTGCCGGACTGCAGCGGGGCCCGCGGCGAGGAGGCCAGGCCGCCCAGCAGGCTCATGGTCCGGCCCCGCTACGGGGGCTCCAGGGAGCGGCCGGCATCAGCTCCTCGGCCAAGGAGTGGCCCCTAGCGCCGGCTACGTCTGGTCTGGGCTGGTGGAAGCCGGCCGCTAGGAATCGACCTCTCTAGAACATTCACGAGGCGCAGGGCTCGGCCACAAATCCTGCAACCAAACCCAGCTACCGGTGCCTCCCTGCACTTCCGCGTCTGCCTCGGAAGTTAGCCGTGACCGGAACTTACATAACGGCGCCGGCCGCGCGTAACTTCCGGGGCTGGGAGTTGGGTCCTCTCGGTTCGGCCGATCCTCGGTTCCGGAAGAGGGGAGGAGAAGGGGAAAGGGAAGGGGAGGGGAGGGAAGGGGAGGAGGGAGGGAAGGGGAGGGAAAGGGGAGGGGAAAAGGAAGGGGAGGGGAAGGGGAGAGCCTGGGGAGGAGGAGGGCGGCTGGAAACGACTCTGAGACTCGCGTGTGTGTGTTTAGCTGAGGCGTGTTATTGTTGCGCTAAAGTCGCACAAAAATCTTCCCGAAGCCAATCTCATACACGCTTCCGAACCCCACCCACTGCGTTTCAGCACCACTTTTCCACACTTGATACAGACTGGCCTTCTGGACTGTAGGATGCACTCCAACGCATTGCTGGGACTGCTGCTTTCCCTACTTCCTTTCTTTATACAGCTCGCATAGATGTTTCTTGAGGGCCTGTTACGCTGTCCTTTTGCTGGGAGCTGGGATTACAGTGGTGAATAGAAAAAAGTCCTCTGCTCTCAGATTAGGATTTAGTAGGGAAGATGGAAGATTTAACCGGCACTTTTAATAACATGCTTGCACTAAGTAGGCACTGAGTAAATATTTGCCTAATGAAACCAAAAATATGTTTCTGTACCTAAACTTATATGTATATAGCTCTAACTTTATAACCAAGTTCTGTCTAATCATCAAATAAATAGACAGTTCTTTAGAATGCAGTATTGGTAAATGAGCTGGGCTGGAAGGCAGAAGGCTTGTGGTATTCATTTTTCTCCCAGCAATGCCACTAACTAGTTGAGTGAGCCTCTGGGTCACAGGTTTTTCCTCTCAAAACTGAATATAGTCTTTAGAATAATGAGGTGGATAGTTATAAACTGAAAGGTACTCTACTGATATATAATTACCGTTGTATACACTCAAAATTTAGACTTCTGGAATTGTATACGGAAATTAAGGAAAATATGTACAGAGTTAAAACCCTAAGTTCAGTAAGTTACTGGAGAAAAAACTAACGCTAAAATAAGTAACTTACAATGAGCTCAAAAAAGGTTTAGAATCGATAACCCAGGTACTTCATTTCTGGAATTGTAAGAACAGTGACCAGAGTCTTGACAAAATGGTTTTAACACAGAGAGAAAGATTACGAGAGTCCTTTTTGTCCATTCGTATTGAAAGCTGTCCTTTTGGAACTCACGGTTCCAGTATGCTTTTACAAACATACTCAAGGCAACCATATAGATTCATTTTTGGAAATTTGCCAGGAATACTTTCGGTTTACAAAATATCCATAATCATGCCTTTCATACTAGAGACTGGCACTTTTCCTTGGAACCTGAATATAGGTAGTTCTGATTGACAGATTTTCTTTTTTTCTTCTTCTTCTTTTTTTAACCCTTATTTGCTAACTGCCTGATTTATTTGCTGTTCAGCTGTATTTTGTCATTGCAGGCCTTATTTCATTAGAAACATTTCCTTACAACTTCTAAAACATTTCATGCAAAATTTAGAAAATACAGTGCAAAGAAGATTTTTTTAAAATTCATAATGCTGCCATACGAAGTGAATCACTTTTTTTTTTTTTTTTTTTTTTTTGGTACGTGGGCCTCTCACTGCTGTGGCCTCTCCCGCTGTGGAGCACAGGCTCTGGATGCGCAGACTCAGTGGCCATGGCTCACGGGCCCAGCCGCTCCGCGACATGTGGGATCTTCCCGGACCGGGGCACGAACCCGTGTCTCCTGCATCAGCAGGCGGACTCCCAACCACCGCGCCACCAGGGAAGCCCAAGTGAATCACTTTTAACATGTATGTTTAATTTTTTATTGAAGTATGGTTGATTCACAATACTAGTTTCAGGTGTACAGCATAGTGATTCAGTATTTTTGCAGATTATACTCCATTGAAAGTTATTACAAGATAATGGCTGTGATTCCCTGTGCTAGACAATATATCCTTGTTGCTTATTTTATATGTAGCAGTTTGTATGTTTAATATTTTAATGCATTTTATATAGGTTAGATCATACCGAACATAATGTTTCCTCATTTGTTCACTTACCATGATCATAGTCATTTTGTAGTGCTATTATAAGTTCTTTATAAATGTTATTTTAGATGGCTGCTTAATATTCCAGTTATGGCTTCATAATTTTACATAATTATTTACATCCATGTTTGACTTTCTGGTCATCAGTTGCTGTGAAGGGCATGTTTCTGTACAAAGCTTTTTCAATACAGGGTATTTTAGTGGCTGGTTCTGTGTTCTCCAGACAATGTAATGTTCCTGAGCAACTATTCACTATGTATTCAGAAGACTATTTATTTATTAGTGCCTGTGATGACACAGCCTTTAGGAAACTTATTTAAGAGGAAAAGACAAATACATGGGCCATATTAATATTATTAATACTATTAAGTGTAGTAAGTTTTATCTCAGAGGCAGGTATTGGATGATACAGCAGCACCTAGCTAGGGAAGGAAAGAGGAGATTGGGAAGGCTTCTTGAAGGAAATATGGCTGGGCAGATTTTGAAGGGGAGCTAGCAGTCGGCCCAGTGCAGAACAGAGGAGGGCATCCTGGGCAGTGGGGACAGCATATTCACAGGCTCAGCATCGTGAGAAGTGTGGGAACTGCAAGTTGTTGATAAGAGTGGAAGATGTATGTGGACAGAGGCAAGAGGAGAGACTGAAGGAGCAGGCAGGATTTGGATTGTGAAGGTCTTGTGTACCAACTGAAGAGTGAGGCTTTTACCGAGCGACAACAGGAAGCCATTGATGAATGTCGGTATATCGACCCCTTTGCTTGTTTTAGGTAAACTTATCTGAATTTGTCTAACTTTTCTACTTATCTATATGAAGAGGGGTCGAAATGACTTATGCAAAAATTCTCTGAAGAAATACATAATGTGCAGCTCTACAAACAGCAAATGAGAGACAGCATGGTATTGTGGTCCGAGCATGGCCTTTGGAGTCAGATCAAGGTTCCAAACATAGCAATGGGAGTTAGAAGCTAAGATGGGTAAGAGAGAGTTGGGGACCTGTTTATCCTGTTTAGTTCTAAATGGTTGCTATCAGTGATTGGCTGTAAGTGGAGGTAGAGCATCCCCTGGGGTATTAGAAGCATATCTGGGCCCATCAAGAATTACGGAGTCTGCAGCCCATAATCCCAGCCCTTGGTGAAGTGAGTCCCTGGTTTACACAATGAAAAAGCGTATCTGTACACCTCAAGGCTCCACCCACAGCTGATGCATGGCCCTGGCCTTGTTCTATGCTGTCCTTAAGCCCCAAGAGCAGACGGCAAATTCCTGTCATCAGCATCTCTTGGCCCATCTTGCAGGCCACAGGATACCTGGGCAAGGTTGGTGACTTCCACAAGACAAGCTGGGGTTTGAGGCCACACCACAGGGTTCCCAGGGATTTCATATCTTTATTCTCTTACCAGATTACCCCACTTGCTCTAAACTGAGTGTGTATCCTACAAAGGCGTAAATAGAGTGAGAAGAAACTACCTCCATTTAATAGCCTGTAGAAACCTCTCCCTTTGTACAATGTCTAGACTTTAATATGTTTTTGAATTTTTTAAAATAATGGTAACTTTTATTTTTAAATTTTTTATTTTTTGGTCATGCTGTACAGCATGAGGGATCTTAGTTCCCCGACCAGGGATCAAACCCATGCCGCCTGCATTGGGAGCGCAGAGTCTTAACCACTGGACCACCAGGGAAGTCCCTAGATTTTAATTTTAGTCTTAGTTTTTCTTCTGTCTTCATATTAAGCTCTAGATCTATTTTTTTTTAGCTTTTGGACTCATTAGCTCCAGCTTTCAGATTTGTTTCCATGTATTGATTATATCTTCTCACGTTTGGGATAGCATAATACAGGATGTTCGATTCAGCTAAATGCAAGTTTAGCAATCCTAAAGTGGGTGTTTTTGTATATTAGTGCGTGAGACTTGTGAAGAAGGGGAGAGATTTTTACTTTCCATAAAATTTCTTGCTTCATGGTTTCTTAACTACGGATTTTCATCACACATCCCGTGGGTGAGATGTTTAGGTTTTGAGGGTTCTAAGCCAGCCAATAACGTCATGAAATCAACCACTGTGTCAGTGTTGTGCTTCTGGGTGGTTGTGTCCTTCAGTGCACAAAGGACACTCAACCAGCTAAAAGAGATGAGCTCAGAGACGTTGGCTCAGAGGAAAAGAAGGATCACACTGAGATCATTGATGGGACATCCCAGCATCTTTCTGCTGAGGAGGGCAAAAGCCGGGAGCATCTCATAGATGGATAGGAGCCGTCTGTCCCACCGACACAGCCGCATGTGGTTGTATATTACCACTGGAACCAACAGGGTGTATATTGCTACACTGGAGAGACTAACAATCTGGAAGACGGACAGAGAGGTCAGCCTGCACGTGATCAGATCGGGGATGTGGGTCTCATCATGTAGCAGCCCTGTCTTGATGGGACAGCTGAATTCCTCTTGGAAGAAGACATCCAGGTGGAAGTGGCCAAGGTATAGGTAGGTGGCTGAGGTGAAGAAGAGCAAGAGGGAGTTCCTCAGGAGGTAGGCGGCCACTAGTGAGTGTGAGCGCTGCTTACAGGCCAGGTACCGCTCGAGCAAGGGGAATTCAAAGTATCGTTCTTTCCGAGCCCTGGGCAGGGGAAGAAAGGAGGCAAGATTAGGAGGGACCATTTAGAACTGTATCCTGAGAGAGCCATGTGGGGAAGTAACAGCATCTGTGTAGGCAACACAGCATTACTGGCTCACAGGAATATCTGCCTTCTTTGAGCATAACCCCTCCTTTCCCCAAAGAGAGGTGTGTGAGTGTATCTTAATTCTCCAAGACATGAGTGCAATGCAGTAAACCCAGTGAATGATCAGTGAATAATGAATGATCACTCTGGATTTCTGCCTGGCAAGGCAGACTAAATCTCTAAGCTGAAGTAGGATCCTTAAGAAGCATTAAGACTTATTAACTTAGCACTGGACTGGGATTCTAAATAACCACGTTCTGGTTCTTGGTCTGTTTCCTTTGTGTATGATTTTTTTTAGGCCAGTTCATTCATTTTATAGAAGTAAATCTGCTAACAAGTGTTTGTTGAGAGCTGTGGTGTTCAGGTAGATGTAATCCAGTCTCTGCCCTGAAGAAGCTTGCAGTCTGGCTTGTAGGGAAGGGGCAGATGAAACATGCAAATAGGAAATAAAAATAATGCTCGTTCTGTTGCTGAAATGATGGATACAAACCATGGTAGTTGTAAAGTTAGGAGAGAGACAAACAGTGTGAGCTGGAGTGTTCAGAAACCTCTACGGAGAATATTGTCTTAGATTGGCCTTCCAAAGGTAGATAGGGTTCATAAAGATAGACAGGAGAGGAGCTTTTTTCAGAGGATAGAGATGTACACAAACCCGAGGCAGAATATGGTTTCTAACCTTAGCTCAGCTGTGCTCTGAGGGGGTCTGCCCTGGCCACCCTATTTAAAACTGCACCTCCCTCCACCTCCCAGCTTTCCTGAGCCCCTTCCCCTGTCTTAGTTTTCTTTATATCACTTATCCTCTACCATATAACTTTCTTATGTGTTATGCCCATTCACTGTTTGTTTTCCCTCAATACAATATAAGCTCCCGCCCCCAGCACACACACACCCCCGTATCCACAGCACCCAGAGCTGTGTCTGGTGCTCCTAAATGACAGATGAATGCTTGAATGGATGAATGGCTTGTTCGGGAGGAAAGCAGGAGACTGCCTAGGTGGAGTGGAAGGTTTATGTCATTTAGTTGTTCCACAGAAGTCTGAGGAAGTAGTTGATGACAGTGTGTGGATGGCCTAGGAAAAGTATCTGGGAGAATTGGGCTGTTTTTCCTGCAGGCCTGGGAGGAGCTACTCAGGGTTCTGAAAAAGTGGTCTTTCAGAGGCTAACCCCTTTGTGACTCAGTGGAGTCACCTATAAACTGGAGGCAGAGTCCTTTCCCTCTCCCTGTACAGAGATGATAGCAAGTCAACGCGGTGACGTGTCAAGAACGTTGAATTCTCGAGAAGCACGGTGCAGGGGACAGTTTAAAGATTACTCTGCAAGATCCCATTTTAGGGCTCGACCGCGTCTTTCAGAAAGCAGTGGAGGAGACAACTCACTTCTCCAGCTCAACCCAGAATGCGTGCGGGTCCGACCCCCGCCGGATCTTCAGCATGTGCTGCACCAGGCGGACGGCGCGACCGTAGGGTCTGTCCAGCCCACTGATGATGAACAGCAGGTCTGAGCTGAGGGCCGGCACGGCCGCATACTGCCCCAGCAGAACCGGCAGGCACATGGCCACGGCCAGGGCCAGCAGGGAGTAGGGGAGGGCCTGCAGGGTGAGAGCGAGCTGAGGAGGGAGGCCCAGGGCGCCCAGACCTTGCAACCTTGCAACCTTGCAGACAGGGTGCTGAGTGAGGGGCTCTCCTTCCCCAGTTCCTGCCTCAGAAGGGGAGGGCAGAGAGAGAGAGAGACAGACAGACAGAGAGACAGACAGAGACAGGAAGGAAGGAAGGAAGGAAGGAAGGGAAAGAAAGAGAGCAAGAGGGAGCGCTAGCTTCCTGTCCCCATTCTCCATGCATGTTAGCCTGGGTAGCTAACCAGAGATCATGGCCAATGGTGGTCATGGCATCCTAGGGGAGAGCATCTTCATTCTCAATCTTCCACTTTTCTTTCTCTGACTGCTCCAGACATCCAGAGTCCATAGCTTTCCAAGTCCTGCCAGGGGCCCCGGCATGGCTGACCTTTACTGTGACCCTCCAGAGAGGAGGTCAGGTCCCATTTCCTCCACGTAGCCTGCCCTGCCTTCTCTCATGGGCAATGGCCTTTTCTCATCCTTGGATTCTTGGTAAGGCCAAACTACGCCATTAGGCACTGTCTTGGAGTCCTTGGGGGCTGTTTCGGGTCTGTTATTTGTAAACTGACATTGGGTATTCATAAAGCTGGTGTCCTCCACTACACTATTTGCTACCTTAGATAAAGGACTTTTCCTTATGTTTCTTATCATACTCACCACACCCAACAGGTTGGACCCACTGTTTTGCCCACAGTAAAAACCCTACTCATAGAGGCTCAGTTAAGTGACATTTTTGCTGGGTACTGAACATGCATTATTCATTCTTCGTCAGGTACTATCAGTATCTCTATTTTATAGACCAAGAAACTGAAGCATGAAAATGTTAAGTGCCCGATACAGGGTTACATGTCTAGCAGGTGAATGAGCAGGATTTGGAACCAGGCAGTCCGATTTTGGAGCTTATTCCCTTAAGAAATACTGGACTATAGCTTCTCCTGAACCATAGATGCTTTTTATTTTAGAGGAGAGTTTGAAGAAAAAGAGAGAGGGAGGCTATTTGATTTGTGTGTGTGTGTGTGTGTGTGTGTGTGTGTGCGTGTGTGTGTGTTTCTGAACTAAACAAGAGAGACAGGCTAGGAAAGGTATATTAGACCACAAGAGCAAATGAGAACCTTTTCACTCCTGTCTAAGAAATGACGTTTCTTGAAAATGAACTTTTCACCCTAGAGCTTCTGTTTCAGGAGGCTTAAAGTGCAGCCAGAGAATCTGGGCTTAACGAGCACTCAGGCCATCTGATGATCGACAATTTGACTCTTTTCTGACATATGAATCCCCTCTGCAGTACTTTGAACTTGTTACCATCTAGATCCTGCTTGAACACTTCCAGGGACAGACACCTCATAAACTCTTTCCATTAAGTCTCTGGTTTTGTCTGGGTCCTAGAACTGTGGCATTTTGAGGCCCTGTAAATTGTCAGAACTAGAAAACATTATGAGTGACTTCTGATTAAGACTGTGCCTCGGACCTACATATTACTTCTGCTCCCTCATGAAACCCCACTAGAATGACAATAAAGGGACCCAAAAGACATAATCCTATAAGGACAAAGAAAATAGAAGAGGAGACAAGAATAACAAAGTGTTGAAACCTGGGAAGCAGCTGCGTGAAAGAAGGTACCAGCCCGCGGAGAGGATGAGAAGTTGAGGTGGGTACAGCCAGGCTGTTTTCACCACAGAACCAGGAAGACTCAGGGATGGGAGATACCGGGTGTGTCTGAAAATGGGGGCACAGGTGGGGCTGGAAACAGGAATATTGAGAAAACAGATCCGCAGATCCTTTCTGAAACATGGTGCACTCAGCCGACCGCCCTTGTGGTTTATTCTTTGGAAACGTTAAACCAGACGGATTCTGCACTTGGGTCCATTGAGGGCAGGGGAACATACTGAGAACGGGGGTGAGCTGAATGAGTAGTGAATGCTGACACCCACGGCTGAGTTCCCAGAGGGCTGGCAGACGAGCTTGATACCAACTGCATGCTGCCCCCTCCACCCAAATTAGGGATTGAATGATTTTTCTTGGGAAAACTGAGCAGCCCAGAATATCAGATTGCAGGTACTGATATCTGGGGGTTTCCCCAATGAAATGGCCCAGAGGGATTACCTTGAACTGACAGCCTCAGCCCTAGGCACAAAACTTCCAATCAGATAAAAGTGGGTGAGCAAATATGGCCAGATATTTGAAGAATGCCTGAGACGCGAAAGTCAATGAGCAAAATACAAAAGCAGAGGCGGGCAGGAGAGAACCTATCGATGCAGT